TTCCGTTACTTTTTTAATGCTGAAACAAGATCAGTCTAAATAATTTAAGATGCAATTTTTTGTTTTAATATTAATAAAAGCAATACAACAATGACACTGGTTCGATACAAAAATACAACTAGGAAAATAAAAGCCTCTTCGATATGAGCTAGAGCTTCGTGCTTAATATTTCAAAATAAATTTATATATACATACATATCCAATTTTACAAAACTATGCGCCAATTAAATTTTCAATTGAAACGCAGTTCAGCTGATATTTTTCACAATTTAAAAGTATTTTAAGATGCATATAACGTAAAAATATTTTATTAAATTACATGTCAATTTAATTTGTGATATTGATTGATTTATGGCATTCTTAAGATGTCATAAACCAATCACAGAACCAATTTATTAATATTTTAAGATATTATTTAAAACAGTCTTAAAATAAAAGTAAATTATTAGTTTACTATAAACTAAGAGTCAATACTAGCTAAAAACTGAAGATTGAATTTACGAAAATTTTGTCACAAAGGCAAAAAGTTCAAAATACAAAAAGTAACGATAAAAGTAATTGTATAATTCGTTACCGTTATCAAGAAAAATGTAACTATACGTTACCGTTACAGTTACCAAAAAAATAAAATAACGTCATCCGTCACCAAAAAAAGTAACTGTAACGGAAACGGCGTTACATAAGTAACGAGTTACTTCCAATCCCTGATTTATATTACATTTATATTACATTAATGTTAATCTTGATAAATGTACGAATGGGCTTTCCGGCTTGTTTTCAGATCTGCTGTTTTAATGTGCATATAGGATATATGATAATCGTGTACAACACATTGAAAGACGCAATTGATAGACAATTGAAGCGAAACAAGTTCTCGTGTGTAAATATCACAGAAATATTCAGCGGCGCCGATATACCAATGGCGCAAGAATGTTTGTTCTGGTTCGCGAGGATTTCGACAATACAGATAAAGAAATTTAAGGAGAAACGCAATGATCAACTAAGACAAATAAAAAAGACTGCTATATTAAGAGAATATATTAAATTACCTACATATTAAATTATCTTTTACGAGATGATTCCGTGCATGTATACTTCTCGTCCACGTGTATCACATGCGATAAATTCAGGAAGATGCACTACGTCACCATAGCAGTAGTCCGAACTTCTTTGGTTGAAACTTTTCCAAGGCTCTCCAGGACCAGAGTCGTCTTACTCGTATAACGTTTGGGAAGCATCGATTCCGGCACCATAACGGCCTACATCCCAACTTTAAGAAGCCGCTCTCACGCCATTCGGCAAATCCTCAAAGATCATGCATTGAAAAGAAATTTGTAATCTTAGACATTATAACTGACTGATAACATTATAATTGATTGAATTATACATTACAATTGACTCTTTTAACCACTCTTGACCCTTGAATATGGTCTGAGTAAAGCCTTATTAAAATTGTTTCACACGCTATACTTGACAGTTAAACGACCGTTTTCAAAGGGCAGGGACCTTCGCGTAAAAATGAAATAGTACCTTTATGCAATTAATTCATTCTGTGATATGAAAATAATAAATAAATAATAAATTATTTACCGTACGTTTATTGCTTTCCTGTTACTCGATGCCTCGTTATCTTCTTCTTTCTGTTCTCTTTACATATCTTTTTACATTCTTTCGTTGCTTCTTCTGTTTGAATTCTCATTTACAAAATAGATCATTGTGATTATGATATAATCAGAAGGAAATATAAAATATCTTGCAAACTCTTAAAAAATTACAAATTAGGAAAGTGATTAATTAATTTATTAGTTGACAATTCTTAGCTTTTACATAACTATAATATGTAATATACTTTAAATATGATAATGATATACAATATATTATATAGATGATTACAAAATATTTGGTACTCAGGGTATACTATAATATATATTGAATGAAGTCATTCAGTATTAATAATTTAATGAAGCGCGAGATGTGAATGTTATAGCTGTTATCTACATTTTTTTACAGTTTATCATATTATGAAGATTTCATATAATTTTTATATTGTAAAATATATTTTTTCGATTTGGTAGAATAATTTTACAGCAGCAGAATTATGGCAGTACCCAGTGCTTATCAGAAATTAATGCTGAAGGTCGCTTCGGCCTTACCCGAGAAATTCCGCGTCGCGTTTCTGCATCCCGCAGGTATGGTGTTCGTGTTCGATTAAATTTTCTTCGAGGAAAAGAGATCGCGCCTAATAAATTTATCGAAAAATATGTTTCAATAGAAAAAAAAATTATTTTGTCAGGTCCGACAACTGTGTTCTTCTGGGCGCCAACGTTTAAGTGGGGTCTGGTTATCGCGGGCATAGGAGATGTTAAACGATCCCCGGATACGATTTCTCTCAGTCAAACTGCGGCTCTTATGGCTACGGGCGCTATATGGTCCAGGTATATAAATATCTCTCGTTTTAAATTTCGAGATCCATTATAGAAAATTGATTAACCTCTGACTTACCTGAAATCTGCGCAATTCTAGATACTCAATGGTAATAATACCAAAGAATTACAACTTGTTGAGCGTCAATTTATTCGTTTGTTGCACGGGAGGATATAACTTCATCAGAGGATTATTATATCAAATGGCGCAGAAGTGAATAGATACCAACAGCATGCGGATCGTGAAATAATTGAGGAAATGCAGGAAAATGATTTATGTGTTTTACGCAAATGTACCTCGAATTTTATTATACAGAATTATTTAACAGTCACGCTGACTATTCGTATGTCGTCGTAAGGCTTGTCAGTTTTAGGATTTGTTTTCACCTGGCTGATATTCTGCACGACCTCCATCCCTTTGTGAACTCGGCCGAATACAGTATGCTTGTTGTCCAACCAGGGCTAAAAAAAAAACGAGCGAGATATTTGCGTTAAGTGAAATCTCGAGAACATATGATCAGGGACGGAGACTTTTGAATTTTCTGGGTGTGGAGTACCTCGTCTAAGCTGGGTAATAACACAAATATTTTATCTCTTCGGTTATATGTCGAAAGATATTTCTACTTCTATATTTAATTTCTTTTCATATTTTTTTCTTCACAAATATGAATATTTTTCTTTTAATTTTGTCTCGACATCACGCAAAAACTAGCTCATTTAAATAATATTATTTAAAGAAAATTTTTTTTTAATACCCCGAATTTAGGGTGTGGAATTCCACGCCCACGGGGTCTCTGGGTGTGGAAAGCTCCATACCCTCCATAAGGAAGTCTCCCGTCCCTGCATATGGTCAATTTCTGAGAAACTACGTTCGAAGAATGGAGTTACTCACTGTCGGTGTCAATGTGATGAAAAACTGGCTGGCGTTCGTATTCGCCCCCGCATTCGCCATGCTCAGAGTGTACGGTCTGTCGTGCTTCAGGCTCGGCTTGAACTCGTCCTCGAACTCGCCTCCCCATATGCTCTCACCGCCCGTACCAGTGCCGGTCGGATCGCCCGTTTGTATCATGAAACCCTTGATAACTCTGTGGAATATGTGGCCGTTGAAGTAGCCATTCTTCGCGTGCACGCAGAAGTTCTCGACCGTTTTGGGAACGTCCTTGCCGAAGAGCTTCACGTGGATGTCGCCGAGCGCCGTGTGGATTATCGCCGTGTCGTATATCTTCTGCATGTTCGTGGCCTCCGTGGAAGATATGATGTCCTCCTTCGAGGGTTTCTCGTTGAACACGTCGCGGTCGCACTCCTGGCTCTTCGTGTCCTCCGGCTCCCGCCTCGTGAACATGTAGAATCGATTCTTTTTGTGGGCCGTGCAAAACAACGTCGGATCCGGTCGATTCATTTCCATCGTGGGATTCTCGGAGGCCTCCATCTCGACGGTTAACGCGGCGGTAGTTTTCCTCGCTTTTCCCTATATTGAATTTATGTATTTGGGTGCGATTTCATTTGTCGTACAACAAAGATTTCATTTATTGATTGGCTTGAAGGATAGAGAGATCCGACAACTTCTTTTTTTTACAGCCAATAGGCTTGAAATGCTTTGTCGTACGACAAATATAATTCCAGCCTTAATTTATTTATTAATTATAACTGTTGTTTCATAATCGCGGCACTTTAATCATCAGACTTTTTTTTATTAAATATACCTGGAATAACGCTAGCCGTATCGGCCGTATGTTCTCCGGCTTTCCCATGATTTTGATACAACGATTTGTGTAAAGATTCACCATTTTGACACCCAGCATGGTAGGATATAAAATAATATAACCTGACTCGTCAAAAATAATATTTCCTAAATTTGTTTCGGTTTTATCAAGTTCTCTCTCGACTGCCATTCTATAATAATAATAATAATAATAACAACAACAATAATAATAATAATAATAGAAGTTAATGTAATACTTGATGAAAAAATTAAGACCAATTTGACTTGGTATAAAATGCAAATGTCTCACCTGCGTCCAAATTCCATGTTCGGAAGTTGCTGTACAGTTTGCTGTAATTCGCTAAATCTTTGCAGCGTCTCGTCAAATATTCTGTACAATTTGCCCGTTTGGAAATTAAAAACTCTAACTTTTCTGTCACCACTTAGAGACGCGAACCGTTTCCCATCAGGTGATATTGCTAAACCGCACGGATAAGTCTTATTTTTAGCAAACTCAAATAGATCAGTGTCCAACTTTGATTCAAACGATATGCATTTGGGAAATCTGTATTCCATTTTCGGACCCGTCCAGTACTCCAATATTCCAATTTTATCCACAGAGATGCATGTCTGATACACGGGATTATACTGCAAAAGAAAGAGCAGCATTATTCTCTTCTTATTTTATCAACATTAAGGGGTCTTACCCATCTCTGAGGTTTTAAAATGATACCTTAAGTTTGAGATTTTTTTTTGTAGGTAAATGGTTAACTTTATTTAAAATCTGTTTAGAAGACTATATTGCACATATATAAGAAATCAAAAAAATATTTTTTTATTTTTCTTGTGTCCAAAATGGCGGCGCACTGGCCTACACTTGCCAGAATCCCTTTTTTCGATCAGTATACAGGATTCCAGGCACACGGTTTGACTTTGAACGAAACATAAAGAATTTTCATTATCTACATATTAAAGACTAGAGAAGTACGTAGGGATTATTCAAAATATTGATATTTCTCAAAATGGCAGCTATTTTACAAAGGACTTATATTAACAAAAATATAAACTTTTCGTAAAAATAGCTGCCATTTCGAGAAAAATAAATATTTTAAAAAACCCCTACATGCTTCTGTAGTCTTTAATATGTAGATAATGAAAAATCTTTGTTTTGTTCAAGGTCAAACCGTGTGCCTGGAATCATGATACACCGATTTGAAAAAACAGAAAAAAGGGATTTCTCAAGTAGGCCAGTGCGTCACCATTTTGTACATATAAAAAATACATAAAAAAAATTAAAAATATATATTTTTTAATTTCTTATATATGTACAACGCAATATCGTCTAAATAGCTTTCAAATAAAGTTACCTATTTACCCACAAAAAAATTCCAAATTTGGGTATCATTTTGAGGCCTCAGGGGTGGTGAAAGCCCTTAATTCCCTACTGCATCTTCCACTATAGCCTTGACTTACTTTCATAATGACAACAGGTTTAGTATGCAGTTTCTCAAAGACGTGCAAAGGCGTACTCGATCCCTGACCATCGTAGACGTATATCTTATTTGATTCTTGTGAGGACACCGCCACAGCAGATGTGGCGTCGCCAGCCGAGTAAACCCATTCGGCGCAAAGCGGCACAAAGTCCAATTTTATCATGTTTATCATATCTTAAAATAACATATGTAAAAGAATAAATTAACTATATATTTTCTGCATATCTTAACCCTAGGTATACAGTTTTTTTGTGTATACACACTGGGGTTCCACAGGGTTACCCCATCATGTGACCCCATCATATCTATTACTGTAACTCCAATAAAAATGGACATATTTCAATTAATTATTTTTTAATCTATAGAGAATCGACCAAGGAACAAGCCCATAATGTTTAAAAGACGATAGAATTAAGGAGCTCCAAGATATACGAGTTCAAAGAAAAAGGAAAGTTCAAAATGCCAATCTGAGAAAGTTTCTCTGGGGTCCTGCAGGGACCAGTGTGTACATCTAGGGTTTAATAGTTACATGTAAACTTTCGTACTTACCAAAATTAATAACATCGAATATTTTCATAGTCTTATCTATGCTGACTGAACAAACGTGAATACCGTTGCAGCTAGCGGACATTGACTGTATCGCCATTAAGTGCGCTCGAAAGTGTTTTACAAATTCTATCAATTCCTCCTGCTTCTTCCAAAATTTTACATGCCCATCGCAACTGGCGGTTATCAGGAAATTTGACCTGTATCAATAATAAGATAAATAATAAGATCCCCTCAGAAACAGAAAATTGCTATGAGGTATTGCAATTATTATTTCAAGAACAATACTAACTTTTCACACATAACGAATAAGGAGGGTCAATGCATGGCCATAGCAGGATCTTGGTGCTTCCATTATTTTCTTATGTGATTTTACATACGTATCCTAGCTTTGACGGAACTGTGCATTGACCTTTCTTATTTGTTATGTCTGAAACACTTATACAGTTGTAATAGATATATATTGTTAATACTAACTTTGTTACTAAGATATGAGTAATGACATCTCTGTGCATGTAAGATTTCTCGTAACATTCACAGCATGGCAAGTTATCTATGTAGACTTGTTCATATTCCAGCACTAAAAAATTAAAGATATATTGAAAGTGTATAATAATTTAAGTGTATATAATTATCTAATATTTTAAAATAAAAAACGTAAAAATTTTTATTTATTAAACGAATGAAGATACCGAGAACAGAAAAAAAATTTTTTTCCATGAAATAAAGAAGCCTTCTTTTTACTCGTATCAAATGATTAGAAAACAATTACGTCATATGTTCAATAAATAAGGAAATAAGAAGTGAAATAATTGCAATAGACGTGAATTTTAATTGACATTTATCAATGGAAAATTAATGTAAACAGTCTTGATTAGGTTAAGTTAACCTCGTTTCTTCTTTTGTGGAGCAGCTTCCGAAGGTAATGGCCCAATCCAACTGTCTTCAGTATCGCTGCCTTCGTGTTCACGTTTCTCACTCATTATTATGTATACAATATAATATCATCAATTACATTAATAAATATAAATGCACCCTCCCGTAACCTGTAGATACATAAATGTTTATGTCGCACGACAGAGTTAATTACAGGCCTGTCCTTTTTAGTGGAACTGGCTGCATTAGTTCACAGTTTATCCTGGTTTATCTTTCTCTTTGTACATTGGAAGAAGAAAGATAAACTCTGAACTAGTGCAGCCAGTGCAGCTAGAAAGAACAGACTTATCATGGACCACTAGTTGCCCCGTCCCACCACCCCTCTCACCCATAAGGTTATGTATCCAACATGAAATTGGCTTAAACCCCGCCTCGTGTGGCAAATTGCGGGAAATTTAAAGGCTATCAGAAGGATGTAAGAATTAGATGGGTGGTTGTTAATAAATATTGTATCAAAATATAAAGAATAATTAATGTATATGAATATAAATTTCTATTGTCTTTGAAATATTGTCATTTTAGTATAAATGATTCTATACTTTGAATAAGTATATGTA